TTAATTAATTATTTATATAATTAATTATTTATAGTTGTTTTTACTTTTTGTCGATAGATGGCGCTAGGAGCTCTGTCCAATCTATGATGAATACACCACGAAGTCATGCGATAAGGAAGAAAAATCTTTATATAGTTAACTTGTAGGTTTTCCCTTTTGAATCTTTAGAAGGTAATATTTCTGAGTTTACTTCTCACAAAAATAACGAAACAGGGCATCAGATGCATTGAACACACTCCTGCCGTGTATAGGGTTAAAAATGGGTTTAATCTTCTAAAAGTATGTTCCTGCTAAACATTCAGCAATTTTACAATAAAGCATATTTATAAAGTAAAAGCCGTAATTATAACACAGCAAAGAATTTGGTAGATTAAAACGAGCTTGCGATTAATAAACAACTTATTCATTGTTATGTGATGATTATTGGGATAAATTAATAACGCAATGTTTTATCCTTTTTACGTCACATTGTAATTTAGTCAATATCTGTGACGACGATCCGGAAAATTACTACTGCGGAACGGGCTTCTTACATGATTGTTTTCGTGGTTTTCACCATTACTAGGGATATCTATCGTCAGCAGCGTCATTGTTGGTTCCATAATTCGAAAATTAAATAAATTTAAAGATAAAGCGATTAGAACGAGAACACAAAAAGCGATTACAACCACTTCTCAAAAAAGGTTCTCCAATCGCTGTTCTAAAATTTATATAACCTTGCAGGGACTTGAGCTGTCCACGGGATCGAAGCCAGAACGTCTCTTTTTTTTTTAGAAGCTTAGATTAAGTTAGGTTACTTAAATAAGGGAAAGCACACAAAGGCGAACTGCCTAAGAGAAAGAATGCCTTCGTGGAGGATTTTCTAATGCAAAGTGTCTCGTATTCACTTTACACTTAAGTTATACTTGCTGAAATACCAAAGGCGGCAGAAAGCTTTGGATTGAATTGGTTATCTGAATACGGCAAAATGACTATTTGCCTTATTTAGTCTTAAGATTAAAAGTGATATTTAAATGATTCGAACATGATGACGTGACCTGAGTAATATTCTGATTACGTTTGCTCTGTATGCGTTAAGGTAACTAAGCATAGGAATGAAACTGAAAGTAAATGCTGGTGTGGATTATGGGCTAAATCGGTGATCATGATATTAATAAGATAGCGCTCTTATAGCCCGTGCCGTGGTAGATAGTGTTCTAACAGCTCACGCTAAAACCTTAATTTATTCTTCATGCAATTATTTTAAACGTATTTCAATAGAAATTAATAACATTTTTGATTTCCCTCTAGTCGTATTAACATCATCATGCCGTCTTAAAATTTCCCCATGACTGAATGTGTGTATCTACGTATCTATTTGAGTTTGATTCATCAGTTAAGGAAAAGTGACATGCGCTGATTCGCATATACATCTCTGTGCACGAGTATTTTGCAAACGGATCTTCCCGGAAATCGCTAGAAGTCAACAACAAACAGAAATTATAAGTTAAACATACGTAAATGTTTTAATTTCTTGTTCGTACTTTTGCGAACTCCCTTTGAGTTATTAACTATTATTAATCACCTAATTTAATAAAACTACCGTAATTTACATTTATTTATTTTGTAGATGTTCAGCATCATTAATAAAATTTTAAATTTTAAATTATTACACTAACACCATTATCTAGCTGAAAGAGAAACAAGCAAATGCAAAATTCAAAATAAGGCCAAAAAAAAAAAAAAAAAAAAAAAAAAAAAAAAAAAAAAAAAAAAAAAAAAAAAAAAAAAAAAAAAAAAAAAAAAAAAAAAAAAAAAAAAAAAAAAGCTTTTAGATTTTGAATAAAACTTTATCCATTTCGAAAGTAATAAGACACAGAACCATTTTCATCAGTAGCAATAATTATTTGCCGTAAGTAAGAAGAGGAAACTGTGTCGTATTCTTTTCGAAATCGGCAGAGGTTTATTAAAAAAAATCTAAGCTATCCTGAAGTCGATTTTTTTCTTCTTAAACTTATTGTATTTATATACGTTAGACGTCACGATTAACTGCAGTTATTATTTTACGTGTTTACGAAAAAAAGTTAATTTTTCATGTAAATATAAACTTCCATATGGTGTCTCTTAAAAAGGTGGATTGACTTCTTTTCCTATTTTTCTCGTATTTTGAATAAATAGGAAAAAAACGTGAGTTATTTTTCGCTTAAACCATCTGCGACAGTAACTGCATTTCATAGTTCGTATGAAGTTTAATTTTTGAATAACAGTAATAATAGTAATCGTAATTGATAATTATTATTACACTGCTTAATTATTATTACACTTATAGGGTATGAATACGTTTCAAGAGCTCCACAAACGTAAAGAAGATGGATATGGTTGTTTATATTTAATTATGAAGAAACTTTGTCATGGTGAATTCGAGCTGAAGCAATGGATTTCAGAACTTATGGAAAAGTAAAATTCTCTTTCGATTTTCAGCTCCGCTATCTTATCGGAGAGATTCCTCTGGAAATCTTATAATCGTTACAAAAAATTTTGAATACTATATGCTTTATTAATATTTGCAACTAACATATGCATACATACCTTCAAAAGCTACTTAACTGCAATGAACATATGGATACTTACCTTCACTTGACGGCGTCCAACATGAGCGTACTTACCTTGAAAAATTGTTTTACTGCAACCAGCATAGCCATTGTGTCATTTTCATTTTAAGTGTGCTAAATTTTAATGCTAATGATCTCCATTCATTCGAACTGAAGTTTAGGCATTTTTAATGCCATTTTTTTAAAAAATGTTTTTCCAACTAGCCAAAGCTTTGGTATTTTAATGCCTCTTCTCATTTTTACCTAACTAAATGAATCATTGTCCTTTTGAATTTGTTAGTTATATATCGTAGGTGCTTAAATGCCTGTTCGATGTATTTAACGAATGAAGAACGCCAAATAAATGCCTATTCAAAAGTGAATGTTCAGTTTTTATTTTAACGCATTTATTTTTTGGGGTGGCGTAGCCTCATTAAGATGAAATAATTCTGCATTACGGTCACACAGAACTGTTCTAGATTTATAAAGATACTTCAGAAAAATCATTAAATAAAGAAGAAGGGTCCATATTTGTTTAAGAATCTGAACAACAATGAAAATTTTTATCTATTATTTTTTTGAAGTTGTTCCATCGGTACTTACCTTAGTCTTGGCTACCTGAAAAAGAACTTCGAAGATCTCAATACCTGAAAATTATCTAAAATAATTAACTTGTAAGAGTTTTTGTTAATTAATCCACTATCTTATTATATTTTATTTGTATCGTCGCTTCTGCTCTTGTAGGCTCCCACCAGTACGCAAATTAATTACGAGTATACAAATGCCTTGAAGTTAGAGATATAGCTGCTAGCAGCAATGCTGATCTACGTAGTTCTTTTCGCCTAATTCATTAGAATTAGCTAGTTTGGCCTTAGCCTATTGCTAGCCGTGTTGCTCACGCATTAAAAAGTCTGAGCCAAAGTTAGCTAGAATTTTGCCTTCTAAACTTCAGGCGTTAAATACTTTACTTTAATAGTTTTCTGTTAGTTTAGATCTTGCAAGTAGCTAGATAGTAAGATTACTTTAAATACGGTAAAGCACTGGAGTGCTAAGTGCCTGAGGGAAAAGTGCCTTCGCGGAGAACGTTTTAAAAGAAACTGGCTCGTATTCACATTCCGCATGGGGAAAAATACGAAAACCAACCATGTACTCTTTCACCTGGGTTTGAACCCGGGTATAATTAATTACTTGCATTTAGCGGAATTAACCATTCGGACACTTGGTGGGACGCGCAAGCAGAGGACGTCAAAATAATAATGTAGACTGATTTGGTAAGTTGCTTAAACCTTTTTCTGTGTTGCTTTACTAAGTCGCCTGATAGTTTGGAACATAACGTAGTTGGGAATTTAGTGAGTGAAACTGAGTTTAGTGAGTTGTACTATAAAAACTAATTAAGTGAAAAATATCAGACAGTAAGAAAGAAAAACTGAAGACATGTTTTCGTATTTTAAGTTATTTTGAAGTTTCTTAAACATCGAGTTCCTAAGATTGATTGATTATTTCATTATTAACTTATTACTGTAAAAATTATAATCGACTGAATATTCATTTCAAATACCTTTCAGACAGGTACAAGGAGCATTAATTGCTTCAGTCAGGCAGTAATTAATATATAAGAGAAGTTGTACTATAATAATTTTGAGCCAGCAGATTGCTTGGTAGCCTTCTTAGGAAAGAGGCGCAAACTGAGTAAAGATTTTACGTAAGCCGTAAAATAAACTGTTGTAATATTTATTTTATTGTCCGTCTGAATATTTGTGGGTTAATACTTGAAAATTAATCCATGATTTTAATATTATTAGATGAATAAATTATTCTTATGAGGAGCAAGAACTTCAGAAAATGTGCTTTGCGGTCAATCTTGAAGAAAATTACGTCTTAAAATTAATAAAAGACGAAATTCGACGGATTTTAATCATGGAAGTAATATTTTGAGTAAAAGAAAATCCTACTGCAAATTCCAGTCAGATGCTTTTAAAATTATTCTATTTTCCTTTCCAGCATACGCTGCGCTATAACTGGTGAAAATCACAAATTTATTTGGAAGCTATAAAATTCTGAACGTCTATATTTTTTAAAAAGAGACGCAGAACAGTGATTTTTAAATATAAATTAAAACACTGGCGTCTTAGTGCATTGTAGTGCAAGTTTGTTTCGTTTAAACTCAATCTCAAATAAGTGACTACCTTAAACTGAGCATTTGTCAGCCTGCGCTTTTCTGAATTATAACGCTCCAAGAAGCTTCAGCTTCATTTTTAGTTACGTATGCAGCAGTTAATTTAAGTTTCACGCAATCACCTTTTAGTTTTTAAACTGCTGAACCGCTTTCAAACAAATACTGCAAAATAATAAAGGATCAATCAAGCGATTACGCAATAGAGCTCAGATCTGTGATTTTAGGCATTGTAAATTTAATAATTGCGTACTTACGCGAAGTTGGGGCGATGTTCGGAGCAACGGAGATGTCCATAGCCAGGCAAGTTAAGTACAGAAAGGTAAGATAACGGTGCCTTCCGTTATTCATGGCCGTGTTGATTTCAGCGGGTTCAGGTGCAGATCGATCTCTTCGGAGTTTTATCTTCGTAGAGATGAGAGCTCTGAATAAGACTCTGAAACTCCAGCACCGGCTTATATAGGCTGTGGATAGAGGTATGGATTGATGCATACCCTCCGTGTAAGCAATCGGGAGGCGGTCTGAGCATCGACGCAGACTCAGGAACCAGGATCTTATGTGACGTCAATAATGTACCCAACGACACAGATTTTCCCGGGAAAAATGGGAACCGGAGGCTACTGTTCGTTGCTTTGGAGCACGCGCGAAATGAATCACGAAAGGATCTAAAATTAGAAATTCGTATTTTTAATAAGTGCATTAGAATAATGCTCCAAACTTGCGGCTGTGAGATGCATTTCTTTTTGAAGAAAGATCGATCTAGAAACGAAACTAGATCGAACTGCAAAATACTAGAAATAAACTTAAAAACCATGAACTGTGCCATAGAACATAAAATATTATATTAAAAAAATAAAAGAGAAATCTTTCCATTTTGGAATTTTACATGCACTTTAAACAAAAAGGTTTTAAATAGTAAAAACGTCCATTTTACCATAAACCTACGACCATTTTAGACCAGTTCTAAAAAAACCTTCATATTGTACTGTGGCTATAAGCACATAAGAAGTGATCCAAAATCTGAAATTTAAATTTTAATGCGTTTTTGAAATTTTTATGTAAAAGAGCTTTGCAAAACAGAAATAATTTTAGGACAGTGTTCATTGTTCTCACACGGGGTATAATTTCATATCTGTTTAATTATTAATCAGTTTCCCGACTGGAAAAATTTCTAAAAACAGCTTTAATTATTTTATTAATTTATACAGGTTATAAATGTTATAAAATATATTTTTTATGTGTTTCTCAGCAGAAACAACTGTCACGTAAAGAGTTCAACAGGTTACTAATTTGGTTTTATAAATCAATTAAATTTCAGGTTTTATATCAGGACACTCATTTATTCAACTTGCATTTGAGTAGAACACACTTTTAAATAATTAGTTTTAGCAAATAAATGCTGTGTTATTTTTTATAATAAAGAAAAACTCTGATTTTGTTTTAAATTTTTATTATAGAAAACAGAGAAATGAAACGTTCAGTGTAATTACCTGGTAACTACTAAACGATATAATAGCTGTATTTGCACTATAGAGTATTTTCTCCCTCCTTTCCGCACGCCTTCGTGGTATAACGGTAGCACACTCGGCGCGTATTCGAGAGATCGAGTCCGGCGAGGGCATTGCCATTTTTCACAGCTTCTGCTTCAAAATGACCTAATGACTCTACATTGGCGCCAGAACTAAAAGGTGGTGGATGATGATTCTTCACCACCACGATTTGGCGATTGGGTCCCCTAATACCCAGCCGCCTTTAAAAGGGGATATTTTCTTCCTCCTTTCCGCATGCCTTCGTTGTGTAACGGTAGCACACTCGGCGCGTATTTGAGAGGTTCAGGTTCGAGTCTTGGCGAGGGCACTGCACATTTTCATGTGATCCTGCTTCAAAATAACCTAATGCCTCTAAATAGTTAATAGAAAATACCAAAGCAAATACTGATCCTCATATAAATGCTTAAACAAGCAGGGCAAAAATGTTTACATAATAAGTTAGCAATATACCATATTCATATTTCGTGTTTCTTCGACTCACGTAATTTTCCTCCTAGGGTTTTCAGCGTATGATTTAGAAACTTCTATTTTAGAGTAACAGTATAAAATGCTTACAAAAATAGAAAAGCACGTTGTGTAAATTAATTAAGTTATTGAAACTGATAAGTCCTTTGAAATACATAATAAATAATATTCGTATGTGTTTACGTGGGGCTTTTAATGTGCTATGTTTAGAATTTAAGTCGTCTCTTCAGAAGCATGTTACACCGCGTATTTCTTCTCTCCCGTTTTTCAAACGATGAAATTAGAAAGAAAAAGGTGAAAAATAACGTGAATAAATACGGTATTCAAAACCTAGAAACATACATGGTATTGTGAATTAGGTTTCCGACGAAAACATCGCGCCAAAAACGTCGCGGAGAAAACAACGCAAGGCAAAAACGTCGTGGTACAAAACGTCGTGGGAGAAAATATAGCAAAGAAAAAACATCGCAGTTCTAAAACATAGTGGTACAAAATATCGTCGTCGACAATAAAGCGGTTCAAATACTTCGCAGTTTAGAAACATCGTCTTCGAAAATATCGTGGTAAAAAATAAAGTACATACAACTCATTGCATGAAGATAACATCGTAGACATGCGTTTTTCAGGCTTTAGAAATTGTAAAAGGATACTCTCATAATGATTTGTGAGCGCAAGATGGAAAGAAAGATAATTTTTACTTACATATTGTTTTATTAACTAATAAATATTTGCTGAAAATGTAAAATGGAAACTTAAGCATAGAAAATTAATGCAACTTATAGCACTTAATAAAATTTTAAACTAACATAATTAACTAGCAAAGGTCATTAATAAATTATTTTTGTTATAAAGTTTTACTGGTAATTTTTCATGAAAAGTATAATCTAAAAAAGAATAGAAGAAGAAAGATAAGTAACTGCATGACCTTATTTAAAAAAAAATGCTAAGTTAATTATGGAATTATTTTCTTGACTTTTGTTAATCTGATAGTCTTATAGCGAAACTTATTTCTTGTTTTGTTCAAGTTGCTTGTTCTGTTTTATAAAAAATATTATTAGTTAATTAAAAATATGTAAGTAAAAATTATCTTTCTTTCCATCTTGCGCTCACAAATCATTATGCGAATATCAATTTACAATTATTAAATCCTGAAAAACGCATGTCTGCGATGTTATCGTCATGCGATGATTTGTAGGTACTTTATTTTTTACCACGATATATTCGAAGACGATGTTTTTAAACTGCGAGGCTTTTGAACCGCTTTATTTATTTATTTATTTTTTTTGATGATATTTTGTACCACGATTTTTTAGAACTGCGATGTTTTCCCTTTGCTTTATTTTCTCCCACGACGTTTTCGCCTTGCGTTGTTTTCTCCGCGACGTTTTCGTCTGCGATGTTTATGCCTCCATGTTTTTGGCTGTAACCGTGAATTAACAAGCAAATAATTTTGCGGATTGCTTTCGAGGGCTCTAGTGCTCGCTTTCTTAGTATCATCTGTCTTATCACCTTAGTAGTATCTCCCTGTGTGAGTACTGGTGTCAGGGATTGAATAATATCCCAGATGTTACTTCGAAAAGGAAAAAATGTTTCCGAGTAATATCGAGTAATCATTTCAGCATAAATTCATAGAATTAAAAAACAACAGTATCTTAGCTAAATGTTTCTAAGAAATTTTATTAATGCGACATTCATAGATCAACTGTACAGTATACATGATATCAAAATCGGTCAATTATGTAGCAATTTCACAAACAAAAGACTTTGAATCTAGCACTCTAAAAGACGCACAAAGTGAACGCTTCCCGCACAGATGATTCTTCTATGATTCAATAATCAGAATAATTAATCCTCGCAGAGGAGGAAGATCAATTTATCTACAATATGATATCCTGAAAGAAAGTGTTAAAATAAAAAGCCTCACAGTCTGATAATGATAACACTACAGTTACAGGGGTTAACAATGGAAAAAGTGATACAAGATCATAAAATATTTTGGCTTCATGACTACAACATATTTTCTTTGAATTCTAAGTTAATTTTATTTCTAATTTTTCCAAATTAAATGTATGTTCATATCTAAATTAAAACGTTTTGTTTGTTACAGTTCGCGTCAAATATGGTTCCACCGCACCGAGACTATTAGAGATCGATCGCGATCGGTAAGACCACTGAACACTAGCTGTTCGACATGGGTTCGTAAGTGTATAGAAGGTTTTGTGGTTTTCTTTATGAGTAACATTATTACTAGCTAGTTTTCTTTAAGAAAACCCTCCATGACGACATCCTTTCTTTTAGACAGATGGCTTTCTCATTCTTTGACGTAATCCTCATAATCCAGTCCAATCCCTCTACTGGGCAGCCAAGTTAATGCAAACTGCCGAATGAGAGTTGTATAGTTTTGCACAGTATGCTTTAAACTTAAATGTAAACCGTTATACTTAAAAAAAACCCATTATTCTTTAAATCAATTAGAAACATTTCAGATGTTAAAGTTCTGCATAAACTGTATGAAGAAAGCAAAATCCAAATTCGAAACTTAGAATCGTTGAATATTACTGCATGATGGTACGGGAATTTCCTCTGTCCCATAATTTTGCAAAAATTTCCTAAGGAGTTAAATTCAGAACTTAAGCGAAGTTAGAAAACGGAAGTAGGATTTGATTTAACTTATACATTTCTCATTAAAAAAGGCGAGAAGCTGTGAGTTTGATGAATTGGGGAAAAATAACTAAGCCATAAGCTGCTGTTAAGCATGAACAACACTGGGAAGCAAGTTATAAGCTGGAAATCCGAGTACTTCAGTTTCATCAACGATTGATAGAAGCGTATTTCTGTGATAAAGAAGACCATGGCGAATGTATAGAATTGTTGCTACCAGTCTCACTTCCCAATGGTGACAGCTCGACACCACAGGTGCACCATACAGATGACGGCTTACAGGTGACCTTCAGCACCATACAGGTGACATCTCGACTTTAGGTCAGTTCCGCTCCCAATTTTGATGGACAGCACCCCGAGAGGACGAGGTCGAAGGGTCTCTGATTCCTCTTTCCCTACCACCAATCTTTCGAGAGGACGTTCGGCTGGTCGCATATTTAGAGTATCCCCATGCCTCACAGATACTGTGCATTTACAAAGAACCATGCCTTCTCGTGATTCGAACCCGGACCCTTCGCTACAGCAGTCACAGTCACTAGTCAGCATTCCGGCTGGGCGGCAACTTACAGAATTGAAACACAGAAGGAGAACTCAATTCTTCGCGAGTACTGGAAAGAAAGTTTTGTGTTTAAACGTATCTGTAAGAAAGAAAACCAATTTTCCTGTAGGCATAGCTGTGGTAAACATACTTAAAGTGTTTGTATAAATTCTACTCTAACTATTCCCATAGTAAAAAATTAGGAATTTGAAACAGTGTCGGAAATTTATAAAAACTCTTCTGCTAAAACTGGATTGAATATTATTCTTCAAACAGTACATGCTGTAGCAGAA